GACTAAGTGTTCTAAAACTCTCCGAAACTCAAAACCGAACATCCTGACAAATCGAAATAGTAGAAATAAACTTGGGGAAAGCAGTTAATAGGGGATCATGGCATTAATTCTTAAGACGACCGGTCGGGTCGTCACAAGAATCTAATATGTTAGTAAATAATTAATTTAGTTGTTATTTTTCACTTATCTAACTAATTAACCTTTAAATACAGTCACTGTTTATCTCAAATCTTGTATGCACGTGGAAAAGGTGAACATGATTTCAATGATCTAAATGTCCAAATACTTTGATGTATATCATTGTCAACAGCTTTGCCGAAATTCAGGTAAAGCTTTACTCCGTTTTGCTCTGTGTGTGTGTTCGTGTTATTAATTTTTTTGTGAAATTGGTTCTGTATTTCCAAATACACTTCTATTTTCATTTAAAGAAGCCATTGTAAAACCAAAATAATCAGTCATTTAGGGACTCGGGGATCACTGTTTGTGTTATAAATTCAATATGCATTGAAGTTATCATGTTAACTAAATAACTCATTCATACATAGATCTTTGACAGAATTTCATGTTACATTGTGCAGCTTAGTGGTTAGTAAAGATATATATCAACACAGATAAAGTAATGTCTGGATACTACACAGTTTAAATTCCATTAGACTATCAATCAACTCTGTTAGCGGGGTAAATACTGACATTACTATTATGCCTCTGTTAGTTGTTTTAACGTTGGTTATTCACCATTCTTTTCTAGTGCTAGCAGATCAACCTGTGATGCGCAGATAAAACTTAAATACCTAAGCTAACCAGTAAAGGTATTAACTGAAATTACAAGTATGAATTTTGATGAGTTATTGAATCGTTACATGGATAAATGATTACAAGCATAAGGCGATACACCTAGATAAATTATAATTTTAAGTATACGTCACCTGTTTAGTACATTGTTAAGCCTATTGAGCCAAGCTCAACTTGTAAATGTCACCACATCTTTGCTAACCTACAAGTTAGCACTAAAACTACCGAATTGTATCTTCCATATGCTCAGATTCATCTGGTTACTGCCACTAGCAGTGGAGAAGCTCTTGGAAATCTGGTTCTGGTTCCTACTATTTTCAGTAAATGGGCTGTTTTGAGGGAAGGAAAGTAAAATGTGTCCTCCCAGAATGGGTAATTGTGAAATCTCTTCCATTTCTTTCTCAAAATTATGAAGTATACAATAGACAACAAAGACAAATTTTCCTGATCTACTATAATTAACTACTACAATTATTTTGAAAAAAACCAGTGAGAACATTACATAACAGAAAAGGGTACTAAGAATCACCTTAAACTCGTAGTAAATTCAACCAACTTTCCGACTTCTGAAAACAAGAATTGTTCCCCATATTAAGTAGTGTGACTTGGAGTTGACCAATTTCTGCTGAAACCAAAAATGGCTTACACCATGTCTCCACTATTTGGTGTCGCAAAAAGAATAGATTTTTTTTTACACTCTCGGTAATCATCTCTTTTACAGAGAGTTATTCCATGTGTAAAAGAGTCAATCATAAGGAAAGAAGATGATCAAGACTGGATATTCAAAATATACAAGTAGAACAAATAACGAAAATATCAGTTTGCAACTACAACATTCACTACACATAGCATGTGTCACAGCAGCTGCTACTCCAGGCCATTAATAATTACAACTGTCTGCAGTTTGTGTGTGTAAACATGTCATGCACAGCTTGATGAAGATTCAACACAATTTTTTCATATGCTACAAGAGAAAATACGTAAGCTACTAATCGGTCCAGATTGATATATAAATGAAAAAAAATAAAAGAAAAAACATTCATACTGGTGTTAAAGAAGAAATCCTTTTACTCTCAAAATAGCAAGTAGGTGAAAACTTCTGCATCAACATACAATTGGTGTGTAACTGTGTATAGCAATCTCGCAGTAACTTGTAATGCAATTGGAAAGTAATTAATTTTTATATTTTAAACAGTTTCTATTTTTTCTACACATGAAACGAAGAAGCATATAGGTAATACCAACTTGAAGAAGTTTCTGTCCAAAGCCAACCATTTCTCGGGAAGAACATATGATCTAGAAGATGTGTGTAAAGAAAAAGTAATTAATAAAGCATGGTGCTATATATTCACGAACGACTTTCTCCTTTATCAATGAGCTAAAATGTAGTCGAACTATAGAATTTCATGTGCCATGGTGTAGCTTGGTGGTTAGTAAAGATATATATTAAGATAGATAAAGAAATGTGTGAATACTACACAATTTAGATACCATTACAAATATCAATCAACTCTAGTTCAATCTCGAACCGGTTGATTGGCTATTGTTTAGACACCATTACATAATACTATACTAATTTACCGTAATTGTTTTATGATTTCACTCAACATACTTACAATTACAACGACTAATTTGTTTTTGAGCTATATGAAAATAAGATTGACGAATCATTCTCCTACAGTGTAAAATCATTGACAATATCGTCACAACCACCAATAGATATATTAAAATATTCCTTAAGAGTTCCTTACCAGTTGGTCCACCACCCTAACCATCATGCTTCACAAACACTAAAGGCATACCAGCTTTTACTTATTGCACTTATTTCAAGTGTCATTGGTATTCTGCCTGAAAAATCAAGCCACACATGTTAAAAAACAAAGGAGTAATCTAAGTTAAGGGAGTTTTGGAACTGTTTTTATCTTTAAGGATATCATATCTTAATGCATGCTTTATCCATTACTAGAGAGTAGTCTGACTTTTTTAATCAAACACGTTGTAGGTACAAGTTATATGAGTTTCAGGTCCTACACTTCATTTTGCTCATATTTATTAATGACTTATATATATCCCAATTATTGAGTTCTTCATATATTTTTTCATAACGAAACTTTTGTGCTTTCCATGTAATTTGCTATTTCATAGGTTTTGTTACAGGGTCATATGAAATTGTGGCCTATTAAGGATATTCCCGGACCTGGTGATAAGCTAATGATTGTTGTAAACAACAAGAGTGAAGAGAAGCAGTTTGTTGCTTAAGAAACCTCTTCTGCTGACAAAGGTGAAGGAAATTGTTGAGGCCTACCTTGGCTCAACTGTCAAGAATGTCGTGGTGAATGTGACTGCATGCTTCATATATCCATATATTATGACATGGAGATGATTTACGTCTAATTATTGAGTTGCAGTTTAAGTATTTGCTCAGGTAGGAGTTAGCCTTTAGAGCTGTTGATGGATCAATACTACTATTTATAATTACGGCATTTGTCACTTCTGTTGATGCCGAGAGTAGAAATTATAAATTGAAAGCTCTACTTTTGTTCTTGTTGATCTCATAGTTCCTTCGCCAATGTATAAGCTCAACAACAACAACAATCCAGTATAATCCCACAAGTGGGGTCTGGGGGTAATATGTACGCAGACCTTACCTCTACCCCGAGAGACAGAGAGGCTGTTTCCAGGAGACCCTCGGCTCAAAGAGGCAACAAGAGACACTATATTAGTACTATCAATAGACTCATAATAAAACAACATAAAGTACCATAAAATCCATAACATAACATAAATACCATAAAAAACAAAGTAACAGCAATATAAGAGATATAGGAAATACGAGAAAGATGTAAGGTATTAATACACAGGAGATAAAGCCCATCATCAGTAGTTGATCAATAGCATCATAAGACTAATTCCTAACTGGCTAGTCTCACTCTAGTGCACTGTAACAAAGACATCACAATTTCCCTTACCTACAACCTTAATGCTCGATCTCCACAATTCCCTGTTTAGGGCCATGTCCTCAGTAACCGTAAGTCGCGCCATATCCTGTCTGATCACCTCTCCCCAATACTTCTTAGGTCTCCCCCTACCTCTCCTCGTACCCACCACCGCCAGTTGTTCACACCTTCTCACCGGTGCATCAGTATTCCTCCTCTGAATGTGCCCGAACCATCTGAGTCTTACTTCCTGCATCTTATCCTCCATGGGGCCCACCCCCACCTTCTCTGGAATATCTTCATTTCTAATCTTATCCTTCCTTGTATGCCCGCACATCCACCTCAACATCCTCATCTCTGCAACTTTCATCCTCTGGACTTGTGAGATCTTCACCGCCCAACATTCGGTCCCATACAACATAGCAGGCCTAACCACTACCCTATAAAATTTACCTTTCAGTAACAGTGGCACTTTCTTGTCACACAGGACTCCCGTCGCTAACCTCCATTTCATCCACCCCACCCCTATACGGTGTGTGACATCCTCGTCGATCTCCCCGGACCCCTGAATAAACGACCCCAGGTACTTGAAACTACCCCTCTTAGGGATGACTTGAGAATCAAGCCTCACTTCCACTCCCGCTTCCGTCGGCTCTGCCCCAAATTTGCACTCAAGGTATTCCGTCTTCGTCCTGCTCAACCTGAAACCTTTGGACTCAAGGGTATGTCTCCAAACCTCTAACCTCTCGCTGACGCCGCGTCGTGTCTCGTCGATTAGGACTATGTCATCAGCAAATAGCATGCACCATGGCACCTCCCCCTGAATATGATGCGTTATAGCATCCATCACCAGGGCAAATAGGAAAGGGCTGAACGCAGACCCTTATGCAATCCCGTAACATCAAGGGCTCAATAATAAAAAATTCCAAATAATACTTTTCTTTTCAAATGTTATGTTTTACGTTTTTCGCGCAACGTACGACTATGGATACTAGTTAAAAAAAAATAAAAATAACAATGGATCGTGTACCAAAAGGTCCAAAAACACAGCACCCTTCCAAGCTAAGCGGGCGTTACACGTCACATAACATCACAACTGCTCTTTTGGTACTTTTTGGCCACGAACCCCCAAAAAAATGATCCAATAGAAAATATACACGTGGAAAACCTCATAGATCCCGCCGTTCAAATTCCTTGCGATCACGGTTTCATCAATGCAAAGTCTATTTTACCCCTACAGAAATTTCGACTACTAACATTTTTCCTTTCGCGCGTCTACGATACCCTCGTCTCCCTCCCTATTTTCGCTTCATCTTTCGAATATCGCAACAATCTTGGAGCCAAAGCTTCCAATTCCTTGAGGAGAATTTAATATATTCTTTTTAATTTACTGTTTTTATTTTTTATTTTTATAGGGAAAGAGAACAAAAATATACCTTAGTATTGCTACTTCACAGACATATATCCCTTCTGAACATATATATCTCCAATTTCATCTGTACATCTACGAAATTTTGTTTTCCGTAACTCACAAATTTCAGAATTCTCATCAATTCAGAAGCTTCAAGTTTCGATTATAACTTGATTTTGTTGAAACATTTCGTTTGTTTTCTTCAATTTCACCGATTATAGATTTCTTCCTATTTTTTGTCCTTACGTGGTCTCGCTCTTTGCGATAAGTAAATTTGGAAAGTTGTCGATGTTGTTTCGATTGTGTTTCTGTAACTGATTGATTCGTTGAAGTGGTGAGTTTTTGGAGCAATTGATGTGAGTTTCGGGTTTTGAATTGGCTTTGAAATTCGCAGAATTGGGGATTTGAGTTCGAAGGATTTGTTGTTTCAATTTGAAAATTAGGGTTTTGGTTTTGGGATGGTTGAGGATTTTCCTAACGTACAACTTCGCGTGCGAGGAGTACATCCCCACGTAACCGAATTTTGATGAAGAGAAAGATGTTTGTGAAACGGACGGTGAAAGTGGAAATGCCGAAACTCAAGCGGTGCAAAACCGAGGAGGATGAGAAATTGAAAACCGAAGAGCTGTTCACAGTGCCTATAAAGGAATTAGAGGATTACCGCACTAGTTTGGTGGATTCGTTTTGTAGAGAAGCTTTGAGTTACGCAGGTGAAGTAGAATCAAGCTTGGCTTTAGCTGGAGCTTCGAGAAGCTTGGAAAAAGCTTTTGAGGTTCATAACCATAATAAGCCTCCACTTTTGAAGTCTTCTCGTGGCCGCATTCAAGTGCTTCCTTCAAAGTTCAATGACTCTGTTTTGCCTTCGTGGAAGAAAGAACAAAACCCAGAAGAACAAGAGCTGTTGTGCTTGAGTGAGAAAGATGAAGGAGCAGTTCTGCCTCACAAGAAAAGGTTCAAGTCTGAAGGGTATAATCAACGAATGCAGCATTTGCCTAGTTCTGTAAAATTTGAGGATAGACAATTTGGTTATATGCAGAGTAAAGATTGTTCTAGAAGTTCTGTGACGTCAGTAGGTGAAGTTGGTGGTTCTTCAGCTCTGGTGGAGAGTGGTGGGTGTGAATCACGGGGGAANCGCGGGCGAGGAGGGGCTTTGCAAGGGAGGATAGTAATTATATGAAGGAGAAGGTTGGAAAGAAGAAGGATTTCTTTGAGCCGGGAGATTTTGTTTTGGGAGACATAGTGTGGGCAAAATGTGGAAAGAATTACCCTGCTTGGCCTGCTGTGGTGATTGACCCGTTATGGCAAGCACCTGAGGCTGTTCTAAGGGCTTGTGTTCCAGGCACGCTCTGTGTGATGTTTTATGGCTACTCCAAAAGTGGGCTAAGGGTAATCTCTCTTTCTTGATTAGTAGTAATAAGAGTTTTTTTTAGTCTGCTGCGGAGATTATACAATTGGTATGTAGGCAAAAGGGTAATCTGTCTTTTTTTTTTGGTTGTAAAACTCAGCAATATTAAGTGAGCAGTTATGCCTTGGTATATTGAATACTTATATACTTAGCTATAGTTATTTGATTAGAGACTTTAAAGCTATTGTTGCTTGTAGGATTATGGGTGGGTCAAAGCTGGAATGATCTTTCCTTTCCAAGAGTATGTGGACAGGTATGTGATGTTCCATTTATCAATTAACTTCTGGTACTTCTGGATACGTGTATTTTCATCGTTACTTTGTCCAGATTTCAGGGGCAGACTAAGTTGTATGGCAGCAGACCAAGTGATTTTCACATGGCAATAGAAGAGGCAATTCTAGCTGAACATGGTTACACTGATAAACGCCCTGAGATGGAACAGGAGACATCTCCAGCAACTAATGACAGTGGAATTGAAGAGGCCACTGGATCGAATCAGGAGCTGGACTTGTGTTTCTCTGACCAGGCAAGTTTTCAAAAAACGTCCTTTATGTTTAAGAGCCAGGAAATGGATCTGAAATTGAATATTTTCTGATGTAGGCCTTAATCTAACCTGTTATCAGCTTTATGCTATTCTCTTGAGTTTTATTCTTTAGGTTTATAGTAATCTTCTTACTTTTATTAAAAAAAGAACCAAAACTCTCCTTTTACTTTTAGTCAAAAGTGTTCAATTTTTTGTTGCTGGAGCATTTGCGTTTTGAGATATAACCTTTCACTGCCATAATGACTTGAAGAATCTCCAGTAGTTCCATTTTGATGACTTCTGATTAATTCTTTAGCAGGATGGATATGATAAGAGGAAAGACACTCGACGATGTGACAGCTGTTATTTGATTTTTCCATTTCGAACCATGAAGAAAGTTAAAGATACAATGTCCAAGGCCCAGTTTTTCTGTGGGCATTGTGTTAAGGTCATCTGCAAAATCTTTTACTATGCATTTCATTGTATTCATATGTATTTCCTTGCGGAAGAGCGAATCCTGAAATTCTTTATTTATGCTGTTCAATTGATACTGTTGTATTTTTTTTTTCTATGAGAATCTATATAATGCTGTACTTCTTTTCAATCCCCCACTTTCTGAAGATTTTTATGCTGTTCAGTTGAGGAAATCAAAGCAATATTGTGGCATATGCAAGAATATTTGGCATCATTCAGATGGTGGGGACTGGGTGAGATTTTTGTGTTTTGATTTTGGTCTTTGGTTCCTTTGAATCTTTGGCTGGCAAACTAGAACAAACTATGGACCTTTTTTCGTGCGATATTCTTATTAGGTGTGTTGTGATGGTTGTGATGTCTGGGCGCATGTGGAGTGTGCAGATATTTCCAGCAATGTTTTAAAGGTATGTGATTTTCATATTCATTTTAAAGTACTGTCTTTCTTCTGTTTTCTTTACTTGATTCTAGATAAGGTTTTGGGAGATTTATCATATATACCAACCTTTTGCAGAATCTACAGAACACTGATTACTTTTGCCCTGAGTGCAAAGCAAATTCTGACAAAAAAATGTCGGTCTCAGAACAGCGGGGGGCAATAGCAAGGTATCTTCTTGCTTAATTTGCACTTTGCCACTTTGGTTATTGTATCCTATCAAACCAACAAGCTGCCTTTGTCTTTGGCTGGTCTTTTCCTTGTTCTAGTGTGCAGACTGTAACATTTTCTTTTTGACACTGTTTAAGTGTTTCAAACAGATTAAAAGAGAGCAATGGAAGTGTGATGCCTGACAAGATTACTGTCGTGTGCACTGGCGTCGAAGGGATTTATTATCCTGATCTTCACTTGTAAGTTCTTTAAATTCTGGAAAGAGAATGGGGGTAGAAAAGGCTTTGTCATGAAAATTCTTGAAATTTATTCTGGAACGGAACTAATCATCTGGATTGGAAAAAAAGGAAAGAAAAGCTAACCATCTGGATTGCTCTTTGTGGAGGGCTAAGGTCAACTGTCTGCTGTGTGTTTGACAGCCAATATTTCTTCTATTTTGAGAGTATTCTTCTGTCGGAAACATAATTCATGGACAGTTTTGGATTTTATTCCCCCAAAAGAGATCTACTACTTGATGAGAAAAACTATTTGCCGTTGGTATCAAATGTGAAAACTCACTTAAAGATGAGGACGCTCTTGTGAATCAACTGGTCTGCTGTAAAATATATAGGACACTTCTAATGCTTGATTACTGCATACTTATCTGCTTTAGACATGAAGTGCTCTAGTTTACTTCCTTCATTTTTGTCAGAGTTCAATGCAAGTGTGGTTCTTGTGGAACAAGGAAGCTAACACTTAGTGAGTGGGAGAGACATACCGGTTGCCGAGCAAAGAAATGGAAGTGCAGCGTGAAAGTGAAGGGCTCAAAGATAACATTGGACCAATTGGTGTGTTTCTAATTCATATTTCATCTTCTATGATGTCATATCTTACTCTATCTATTCCATTGCATTCTGTCACTAATCTTAAGGGTTCTGTTGCAACTGTTACAATGGTTTATTTTTTTTTATGTCAGCTTCACAAAGATTTTATGTTGTTGGGCAGTAAAAGGCCGCAAAAATGACTAATAAAGAAATGACTGATATTTGTTTTTATTTTACGATTAGCTTTATTTGTTTATTATATATTTATTTTGATCGGTGCAGTATGCTTTATTTAGATCATCCTTAACATTTTTGTTAGGATTTTAGATGGATCTTTGGTAGTTAGTAAACATGCTATCATCGCCTCAATGTTGCTTTTCGTGGGTATTCATTTCAGTTTTTTTTCCTGGAAATTGTAAGTGACATTATTTTGGATATGAACCTTTCATTTCCTTTGCTTTCCCGTGTTTTCTTTTTGATGTGAAGAAGTGATATATGATATTATTTGTAGTTGGGCGGGTGGGTGAAGAAATATTCACTTTAAGAGGATCTTGCTCCTCACTGCCAATAAATAGTAGTGATTCTTCTTCTGTTCATTAATATCTGGAATAGGTTTGCTTTATTTTCTTTATCTGAGATAGTAGTATTGATGCTGCAGCTTTCAGATCATAATGCTTATAACTTTACCTATCAGAAGTTTACCTATCAGAAGTTAGATCACCAGCAGCTGTTTGCATTTTTAAGAGGTATGCTGTATTGGAGTTTCAGTTGTGAGCGCCTATTTTTGTGTGTATTTTGTTGAGCCAAGAACTCATATATGTCCTTTTGTGGCAGAGAAGTATGAACCTGTTCATGCAAAGTGGACTACAGAGAGATGTGCTATTTGTAGATGGGTTGAGGATTGGGACTATAACAAAATAATCATATGCAATAGGTATTCCTGTAAATCAACTGTTTAGAAGAAAAAGATATATTGGATGAACATGTTACTTTGATCTGGTTGGCGAGATATCATTTTCTAGTGTAACTAATGCCGAAGATTCAGGTGTCAAATAGCCGTCCATCAGGAATGCTATGGAGTTAGCAATCTTCAGGATTTTGCTTCGTGGGTCTGCCGAGCATGTGAGACCCCAGAAATTGAACGAGAATGTTGTCTTTGTCCAGTCAAAGGCAAGTCATCTTGTATATCCAGCATTTTTCGTAAAATATTTCTCATCAATGGCTTTCAAATCTAGATTTGTTAAATGATGCTTTTGCAGGTGGTGCACTAAAGCCAACTGATATTGACTCCCTGTGGGTTCACGTCACATGTGCATGGTTTCGGCCAGAAGTTGCTTTCCATAATGCTGATAAAATGGAGCCTGCCGTTGGGCTTCTTAGAATTCCTCCAAACACTTTTTTGAGGGTAAATTGGTTTCTAGATCCAAATATTTAGTGGTATCTTTCCCATCTCAAAAAAATATATTTAGTGGTATCTTTGTATTCATTTGTTTGGTCCTTGGACATTCTTGGATTTCTCAATTGTGTCTGCTGCTGATTTGTTTGATGCAATAGGTAATTTTCTTTTTCTGTCAAAATATATAGTTATTGGTGGCTAAAAACCCTTGGTTATAAATAAATCTGCAGGCATGTGTGATCTGCAAACAAGTTCATGGATCATGCGCTCAGTGTTGCAAATGTGCTACCAATTTTCATGCTATGTGTGCTTTGAGGGGTGGATATCATATGGAAGTAAGCTTTTCCTCGTCGTATATGTTGTTCCACTATGATAATCTCTACGAGAGATGCTTTCAGTAGTAGAAGGAAGAGAATGTGATAGTTTGGTGTAAACTTCAAATATCATTCACCAAAACTCAGGCTTGGAATGATTGTCCTCACCGATGGATCAAATTTCACGCTCACATTTCACAGTTGCTTGGCCAATATAGGAATGCTAACATCTAGACAGCTTTTTATTTCTTATCTTGTAAGGGTTGAACTCTAAGTTTTGTGACTGGCAAGGTCTATAATTCAGTTTCTTTTGAAACCTTTTTTTTCTTGTGATAATTGTAGTATCCTGGTTAGCTGTGCGCACTTCGACTTGTACACTGGATATTTGCCACTTTCCTTACCTCTGCTAGAGTTAAAACCTTGGATCTTTGTTTTTTGGTAAATGTGATGTCCGGGCCAGCTTACGTGCACCTCGACTAATACAAATGGGTACCTGCTGCTATCTCCCACCAGCAATAGGTACCGGGTAACTCTATTCACTAATGCTTGGATAGATGTGAAGAAATCACCTAGTGCTTTTTTGTCTTCGTCGCGATTTGAACCTGAGACCTCATGGTTCTCAACCCATTCATCCACCATTAGGCCACACCCTCAAGTGCCCTTAAAACCTTGGCTCTCAAGGTTGTTAATCCAACTCTTCGATTGTTAAGTCACCCCTTGGTGAAAAACGAAGAAAAAAAATCAACAAATTTCTTTTCTTGCTCATAAAGCTCCCTTCTTTTGCCTAGAATTGCTTAAGTATGCCATTGTTAATGATGCATATATGCTAGGACTAAGTGCTGAAAGTTGTAGTGCCCAGTTTCTGTCTCTACTTCCCTTTTCGTTTTGTACATAGATGTTATGCTCTAGAACTGCTTTAATTGAATCTTATGAATGCACTATGTGTTTCTTTTCCCTCCACGGCGATTGGTAAGGCACTTGAACTAAGTGTACTATGACTATATAATGTTTGTAGTGTGTGTGTAATAATTGTTATATGTAGATAGACATTTACTTATCAACAAGAGAGAGTGTTTGTATATGGCAATGTGCTTTTTATTTTATTGGGAGTAATTACTTGCTTTGATAATTAAAAATTTTGAATCTCAGTTGAACTGCTCGGAGAAGAATGGTGTACAGATAACAAGATGGTTATCATATTGTGCCTTTCACAGGTAACATAATATCCTCTTATTCTTTATCTTTTGCTTCTTGCTTTGTTTTATATCTTTTTAGATTAATAACACCTACGGCATATAAACAATTCTCTTTTTCTATTAAATCTCTCTACCTAAACTTTGAAATTAAACAGCTCAAGGTTGATACAGTTAAACATTCCTATTAATTGTTGGGAAGCAATTTCTACATTGTTCATTTTTTCCATGGTTTTGATGTTTACCTAATATGTGGTATGCTTTAATTTCAGGGCCCCAGACACAGATAATGTCTTGGTCATGCGGACTCCCTTTGGAGTGTTTTCTACAAAAAGTTTGGTTGAAAGACAAAGTCAAGAACATAGTTTGAGAGGTCGACGGCTCATCTCATCTAAGGCTCTTGAATTCCCTGAGGCATCTGATACTGGGACCAGTAGCTTTGAGCCATTCTCTGCTGCAAGGTGTCGTATCTTTCAGAGATCTAGCAATAAGGTATTATGCTCTCTTATATTTTTAGATGTGGTGTGAAAATACATATTTACCTTTTGCATCTTATTCTGTTTGGTTCTGCGAATATCCTTTTATGATATATTTTTCCGCGTGTGTTGGGTTGCGACATCATAAAGCTACCAACCTTTATTCCTTGGTAATAAAAGAAATTATTGGTGTAGAGAGGAAAGATTGCCAAGTTGAGGATAAGATTCCTCTATGAATGACGAGTTAAATTGGAAGTAACAGAGCAAAACTGCTGTCCTCGGTGCCAACAGAGCACTGTCTAGTTGTATTAATTGTTCAATAGAGCCGCACCACCCAAACTATCGGGCTCTTACAACACTAGAAATCCATGTTTGCCGCACCAAAATCTTCTGTCATATGCTAGTTGTGAATTTTTTTGCATGTCTTTCTGATGAAACTTGTTAAATTGATGACGCACATCAAGAGCGCTGTATCATTTGCTTAATTCATCTTCAAAGACCCAAAACCTGGGTTCAATATATTTCATTAGAAACCTAGTACCCATTACTTCTATGCCATTCCATGTAACATGGCTTATAACAAGTCATGCATGTCAAAATTAGAAAGCTCTAAGCCTTAGAGGAACCTTATCATAACAAATGAAATGGCTAACAGCAAGTGCTTGGCTTGGAGATGCTAGCAAGACGAACACATAAATTGCAGGGAAGTGATCCATTAATTTTATTATTTTCCACCCTTTTGTATCGTTTGCGTCTAATTTCTCGATTTATTTTTATGAGCAAAATTTCTTGTTTTTCTTTCTTTCACCTCTAATTTACTTCTATTTCGTCTAGAGGGTTGGACAAGTGGCAGTATTCCATCGACTGATGGGACCAAGGCATCATTCTATAGAAGCAATAGATTGCTTAAACTCACAAGAAGTATGTAATATGTTTCTTCTTGTGTTTTCGAATCCATCTTGTGTTGTAACACCATCTAATTGTATAGTTTTTCCTTCTCCTATTTTTATGTTTGCAGTTGGCTGGAAATGTGAAGGCTTTTTCAACACTCAAAGAACGGCTGATCCATCTACAGGCAAACAATCTTCTCTCTGTGCCACGAGGACTGATTGCTTATTCTATGCAGTATTTTCTCTAGTTAATATGCAATTACTTTAACTAGTTGCATGATACCTGTTGGCTAAGCATGTTCATCACCCCAATCTTTAGTACTACACAACTAAACTCACACTTAAGTATTACTTCTTACTGTCATCAGTTAAGCAACTATAACTGCGGCAAGATATTTATCAGAGTAAAGGCAAACAATTGCTGAGAGTAGAGTTTGGAACACATGCTTCTATAACTGCAAATACATTTGAAACCAAACTTACTCTCTATTTGTTTAAATCAGACGACGGAAAGCCGGAGAGTTTGTTTTGGTAAATCTGGAATACATGGATGGGGCCTCTTTGCACGTCGAAGCATTCAAGAAGGAGAAATGGTACTTTTCATGAGTGGAACATTATAAGTAATTTTTTAATTACTGTTATGAAGGTTTTAATCCAGGTATTTAAGTGATCCATTGTCTTTGGCTGCTTCTCTAGGTCCTTGAGTATCGTGGGGAACAAGTGAGGCGTAGTGTTGCTGATCTAAGGGAGGCACGCTATCGGCTGGAGGGAAAAGATTGTTATGTGAGTCAATTTCATTAATTTATGTGAGGTTATGCGTACATGTGCCTAGGCCATGGTTGTCTTGAACATGTAAAGATGAGCCTAATCTACTACACTAGTTTAAAATAGGCTTAGATTTTAGCAGTAATCGTTGGTTTCATCCTTCGTAAGGATGCTAAAGTGCTAAGACAGTCTTATCTTGTCCCTGCTATCCTATTTGCTGTACTCCATTCAAAAGGATAAAGGGAATGATGGTGCATAAACTGTCAAGCCCTTAAACAAACGATCTATAAGTTAGATCTGTTGCTTCTTCGGATTGTTTGCCTCAGTCATTAATTCTAACACATGTTCTCACTCCATGCAGCTGTTTAAAGTAAGCGAAGAAGTGGTAATTGATGCCACAAATAAAGGGAATATTGGACGCTTAATCAATCATTCGGTAGGCTGTTGTTCATTGTCAAACTGCTGGTTGAGTTTATTCTGCTCTCTGGGATACTTGGTTTCTCATCTCTACCGTAGACATGCCTTTTTGCTGACATTTTAATTCAGATTCAGATTTCATACTTTAGGTTTAAGCCTTCTTTTCGCTATCTCATGTAGTGCATGCCTAATTGCTATGCGAGGATCATGAGTCTGGGTGAAGAGGAGAGCCGGATAGTTCTTATAGCTAAAAGCAATGTCTCAGCTGGTGATGAGTTGACGTATGGCAGCTTTTTTTTTTCTTTCTCTTCATCTGTGGATCATCTGTTCGTTCATTTGGTTTCAAATTACGTTTTCCAATTTGTAGTCTTACAGTTTTTTCTCTTCTGAAAAATAAACTGTATTGTGCTTAATCTTGTTTAACAGGTATGATTATTTGTTTGATCCTGATGAGCATGATGATCTTAAAGTGCCCTGCCTATGTGGAGCTCCGAATTGCCGGAAGTTTATGAACTAGTGTAGCTGAAGTACAGGATTTATTCTTACAGTGACGTGCTGACATGAATACAGCAAATCTTTTTCTTTTATTATTTAAACAGCCAACAGTTTTGTCATTCTTACTCCAATTGCATTAATTTTAAGTTGTAAATAAGATGTATACACCAGCTATTTAGCTGGCATTTTACATTCTTCTTCATATCGTGAAAGCTTCTTTCTTCTCACAAAGGAAAAAGGAAAAAATTGTTGAATAACTGCTATGCTATTTGATTTATTTGGCAGAAGAAGGCTAAATTGCATTGTGAGTTTTGAATCAACAGCTCTATGTTTCAGGAGAAAGTTATGCTATTTGTCTTATTCAGTTTGACCTTTTGTTATATTTAGTTCTTTCCAGAATATCAGTTTTTTGTTTATAAAATGGCACTAACTTTTCCCTCAACTAGTCTAAATTACTACGAAGTTGTATTATTTTGTAATAGGCAAAATGGCCTTTGTGACCACTTAAACTTGCGCCCATTTGTCAATCTGGTACACAAACATATATATTTCCCATTTGAATACTTCAACTCCAATATTTGTTAACCAATAAATCACTTTGACAGTTGATTATGCCTGTGTGGAGGTAACGTAGCTGACATGGCTAAATTGAATGAACATCACGATTAAAAAGCGCATGAATATATATAAATAATGAAAAGATAACAAAAATATAAAAAAGAAAAGAAAACAACACTTCCTCCCAGTCCCCTTCCCCATCCCCATTTCTTTAGTTTCATATTCCGTTCCCCAACGACCCAATACTATCTCGTCCCCATCCCCTTTCCATTATTACTTTATACTTGAAAAGGATTAAGGCATCTATCTTGTTGTATTGAGTACAAAAATGTAGAAGAAAAATAATAGAAAAGATTATCCACACAACTCGATGTCGGAAGAAGGAAATCTCCGATGATGTTGCCGGAGAAAATGAAGACCAAAGATGGCTTTATTTGAATTTGGAAACTAAGCACCAACAAATTTGAAGCGGGAATGATTTTCTGGTACCGCATCGAACCATTCACCATTTCAATTCTCCGATCTGGTTATGGGGCAATGGTGTTTACAATTGATATTGATGTTAGAAGCTTTCGATCCAATCTGGTCATTGCTCCTTTTTTTTTTCTTTCTTTAAATTTTTGTGGCAAGGGATATTAAATTGGGTTATTTTTGATTTGTTTGGTCTGGGTTGGTGGGAAGGAGGTTTAACGGAGATGGTAATTAATATGGTTGAAATCAAATGGATTAGGGGTTTTGGGCGAAAATGGTGGCTGAAAATTCTCAGACATTTACCAGTGAGTTTTCTGGTCAACTCGAGTTTTTCGGTGGTCTATGAGTTTCTTGGATTTGGGGCTTGATCGGAGGCTTTACCGGCAATAGCTTCTTTTACTGATTCTGGGGGGAGGGGGGAGGGTAGTTTAGTGGCAAAAATGACATGAAATTTTAATAAATAAATTTTAAAAATGGGACCCACAAATAACATATGTCATGTAATAAATAGTCTAGCATATGATGTGTTGTACAGGCCACCACAATTGATGTACACGCGCTATCGGATGTATTTATTAGTACTCATTCTGTCAAGATGGAGTTGTTTAATCGGAAAATATGAATTTTGGTCAAAGCTTACTTTTTAGAAGAACTCGGGTTACTGATAATCAAATATTGAATAAATAAGAAGATTTGACTTAGACAATAACTGAATAAGTAAAAGAAAACAAAATAAATCAGTATATTCGAATAATATTCTGTATCCTTACAAATGTTATTTCTTTCCTTTTATAGTTATTTCTAAGTAATACGTTTCTTTCCTCTCATAACAGAGCCATTATGAGCATTTAATGGCATTAATGTAACGTTATAATTGACAATCGCAACGGTTTCTTGAAGATTCTATAACGTTTTCCATCATTGATGCTCATTAATCACAAATAATACGTATTTGTACTTTTTGCTATCCAGGTTCACTCCTCCGATGTCTCTTCAAATTATCAAGAGGTCCGAATAACCGTGCCTTCTTGTTTCTAGAATCTTTACCCGCGCCTGTTAAGGTTCGTGCCTCTTCAACTATTCTTTGCCAGCTGTCATTCTGTTATTGATCCACGTATCTTGACGTGTCAGCACTTAATTAATTCCAAATGTTAACTTGATTTTTTCTAATACAGATAGTCCCCTCACTTGCCATTTATTCATCAATTGAATATTTGGGAAGTTGATCTCATTAAAGCGGAAATTTTTGCCGCCATTCTTCGTATCATTATAACTTCTCCAAAACTAACGCTTCGCATGTCACTTCCATTTAATGCTCGTGACACGTGGTGGCTTTTGATTGGTTCTGCAACTCTTGAGCACCTTTTGAGGCTTTTTCCGACTAGCATCAATCACGAAGTGACAGTTCTCATTATGACGCTCCCATCATTAACTTTTTTGTTTAACGGTTGCTTTTGAGTATAAATATAACCTTTGTCTTTGTCTTTTCCATAAAAGTTTTCCATCTTTGAACATTCACTCTTGTCTTTTTCCTCGTACAACTATGTCTTCTTCGAACCCTAATCCCCGAAGAGTTCTTATTGTTGATGAACTTCCCCTTGCTCCTGTGAGAAGCAGAAGAGGGGGAAGACTACAAAGTTTAGGATCATCATCTATTCGAGGTGCTTCTTTGCCTCCACTTAGTTCTACCCCTCCTCCTTCTTCTAGAACTAGGGGTTCTCTTCCACATAGATCTTCTGCCAGAAGTAGGGATTCCAATGAGCCAATCCGTGAACCTATAGTAGACGAGATTATCCCTTCTGAACTTTCCTTCTATACCGATAGAGAATCAATTAGGAACCAAGTTTCCTCTATATCCTCTCATGATCGTGCTGATGTTTACCCTTCTCAGATTACTTGAAGGCTTAATCTCTGTTGTCCGTAGAGATTGCCATTGGAAATTTGACTTCCCAATCATAATTCTTAATCCAAACCAAAGAATCACATCCTACATGACTGGATTTTCTTTCATGTATACATATCCTTTTACATTGAATTTTAGACCCCTCATTGATCCTGTTATCATCAAGTTCTGTCGTTTTTTCAATGTTTGTTTAGGACAAATTGGCCCCATTATGTGGAGGGCTTTTGCTTGTTTAAGGTACTTGGCGAACTTGGTTCAATTGCCTTTTACCTTTTTTCATCTAATCCACCTCTACTCCCCTAAGTTGTTCCAACATGAGATCTTTACTTTGGTGGCGAGGAGTAAGAGGGTTTTAGTCAGCCCTGAGGATGACAAGGATCTTGGGTGGTATGCCAGATTTGTTGTTGCTCCTACTGTAGGGTTAGTAGGTGAAGAAAATACTCCATTCCCCGAAAAGTGAAATTTTGCACGTAAGTTTTCTTTACAACTTTCTTTTTCCTCTTTTTCTTTTTTTTTTCCCCAGAAAAGGTTTGTTCTTCCCGTGACTATTTCGCTTTTTCTTTTTTAGCAACCATGAGAACTGTTGAAGAGATTCCCAATTTCCGTAGCTGGGTAGAGAAATTGTTGACCATTGCTCCGATGGAAACTAGATCTTGAAAATACATTTCGAACAGGTTTGGTTGGAAGGTTAAAACTCATGGTAAAAACTTTACTCTTTCCCTTTCTATTTTTGTCTATCTTTCATTTAGAATGTATTTGACCCATCTTTTTATTAGGGTTTTCTATTCGTGGTGTTAGTGCCGAGTCAATCATAGCTTCCAGGGTTTCTTTGGCAATAGCTCAAGAGATAATTTTGAGTTCTTCATCGAAAAGGAAAGCTGATGCATCCCAGGATTCATAGGAGGAAGAGGAATGAGATGGAAATTCCTTGATTAGAAGGCCGCGGGCGAGAAGACGTGCCATTTCGGATGACGAAGCTACTTTCTCCATTCTATTCCTGTGACCGAGCCTGTTGAAGCCACCTTAGTGAGTTCTGATGATGATGCTCCTATAGCTGCTCGTGACTCTGATGAACAACTTTTTTCCTATGGGTTTGATAGTGAAAGTTTTGATTTGGTTTCTGATGAGGTACCTCTTGCCTCTTTCCCCGTGTCTGTCCCGGTGGAATGCTCTTTACCCGTTTCTACTGCTGTTGCTTCTCCCATGCTTCAAGCTATTATGTCCTCCTCTACAGTCCCTACTACTACCGTTCCTCACCTTGAAGTTGGTTCTGCAAGTGGAAGTAGAGTGATGAAGCATATTACCATTGAAGTCCTTGCTGATGGTAGTCTTTTGAAAAAGTCAGGTCGGGCTAATGTATGGTTGAAACCCTTGATTAGTCCGGTTAAGAAAACCAAACTAGAAAGTCATAGTTCTCTGACTTGGATGAATGATATCATGCAGTTATCACTGAAGGTATTAATTTCTTTTCATGATTTATTTCATTCTCCTTTTACCAAGATTCTTATCCCTTTTTTTAAGATCAATCTAATCGGTACGGAGATGATGAAAAGGGTTTCCCATACAGAGCAGTTTATGCATAATTATCAAATTGAGGCAGACAATTGGAAAGAATAATATGAAAGCCTTCGGTTTGACATGAAAGTTTTAGAATAAAGCAAATGTACCTTAGAGCAGCAGTTGAGGGTCATGGATTCAGAGTTAGTAGTTGAAAAAGCTTCTTCCAACCAGGCAGGCAAGGATAAAACTCTTCTTGAGTCATCATTTGCCGAACAACTCTCCAAAGCCACCGAGGAGATTAGAGGTTTGAGGGCCTTGTTGAACGAGAAAGAAGTCTATGCTGGAGAACTTGTTCAAACACTCACCCAGACCCAAGAAGATCTTCGTGTGTTTTCTGATAAGGTCAAGTTTTTGGAGAGTTCACTTGCCCCTTTACAGTCTTCTTATGATGTTGTTTTAGTTGAAAGGGAGGGGCTCAAGTGTGAAATTGACCATTGGGAAAGAGACTACGAGCCTCTTGAGGATAAAGCTGTTGTCGAAGTAAGTTGGGCTATATTGAACACATGCAATAACACCCTTATGGAGGTTAGCCAAGAAGGTTTTAACTTAGGTGCCGAGTTAGCAAAGATTAAGGAAACTATTGAGAAAACTCAGCAAGGCCAAAGTTTCTCTTCTCCCATGGCTGATACTCCCGAGCACGTTGAAGCTGATTCTAGTGCGGTGGATGTCCCAACTCCTTCAGATCAAGTCGAGCCTTCTGTTGCCAATGATGCTGTTTTGAACCCTTCTCGTGCTCCATAGTGAAAGCTTATTTGTGAAGTTTGACTTTTTTTTTCTTTTTTGGTGGAATATATGGGGTTAAGTTTTTGGCGATAATAAGTCCCCAGGTCCTTTCAGGGCTTTCTGCAAAAAAAAAAAAACAATCAGTTTATAACTAAGTTCATACTTAGTTTAAACTTAATATTATAAAGTTTCTATTTCAATTCAATTCTCTCGAGTTTTTGTTATACTCTTTTTGCATTGTTTTTTTTTATATATCAGTCCAAGGTCTTGTTTTTAGTTCGCGGGTTTTTGTTCTAACCCTTTCGACTTTTTGCATTTTTAGAAATGCTTTATTAATTTCATGGATCTTTGAATCGAACATGAATTTATAAAAGAGGGCCCTTTTATATACGACATTTAATGAAGAAGACGTCTCAACTTTATAATGGTATAATTATACGAAAAGAGAAATAGGAACACACATGTTTCTTGAAATAACTTTGATAAAGTTTTCATCAAACTTTGTCAAGTTTAGATAACATCTTACATGCATTTAACTATCTTCTATTACTCTTCCATAACTGTTTTCTTTACAATATATTTGCAAAAAATAAAATCCAAGGGTTTCTTTATGACCCATGGCTAAATACTGCCTTTAACCTAAACACTGTAAGATTTTGAAATCTATATCCACTAGTGTACTCTTCACAGGTTTTTTGATCAGGCTTATGTTATTGGCTCATGACTTTGCTCTAAACTTGATATTTGATGAGTAGACTTTTAGGCTTGACTTGAAATTTAATTGTTTTCAGTCTTCTTTGCTTTCCTTATACATATATATGTATATTATATAGTCCCCCAAGTTTTTGAGCTTTGAAGTATGAAATCTCGAGCACTTGATTATTCCTTCTATGCGGTCCTTTTCTTGAAAAGGAAAAACATACGGGACTCGGAGGTACAATTTTAGATGAAGACTTCTTAACCCGTTTAAATTTCCATCAGAATAGTTGTAACCTTAGACCGGAAATTATGTTCTTTCCACGTGTCTTTTAGTTCGTAATTCATCATTTAGTGTGGTCTAGATTTTTGCCTATCATCTAAAATCATTAGTAAAATTTTAATAATTCAAATAAAAATCGTTAGTAAGGATACCTGCCCGTTGGTATTTTCTTCCCTTAGAAGTAGTATCTCTTTAGGTGAACAATATTCCAATTTGAAGGTAGAATCTTGCCATCCAACGTTTCAAGCTCGTATGCTCCTTTTCTTGCTATACCATTAACATTATAAGGCCCTTCCCAAGTTGGACGTAACTTTCCTGCATTGGCTGCCCTCGTGGATTGGAAAACTTTCTTGAGTACGTAGTCCCCAATCTTGAAATATCTGAGACGAGCTTTCCGATTGTAATACCACTCAATAACTTATTTTTGTGCTGCCATCCTTATTAGTGCATTTTCCCTTCTTTTTTCAAGCAAATCCAGGTTTACCTGCATCTCTTCTTCGTTCGATTCTTCGGTAGCTTGAATATATCTCGTACTTGTTTCTCCTACCTCGACTGGAATTAAGGCTTCAACTCCGTACACAAGTGAAAACGGTGTTTCTCCCGTACTTGTTTTTGCTGTTGTTCGGTAAGCCCATAAGACTCCAGGTAGTACCTCTGGCCAATTGCCTTTAGATTCTTCTAGTCTTTTCTTCAAGTTATTGATAATGACTTTATTTGTTGATTCAACTTGTCCATTACCCACCGGATAGTAAGGAGTTGAAGTAATCCTTTTAATTTACCAACTTTGAAAAAATTCTATGATTTGTGCACCTATAAATTGCGGGCCGTTATCACATACGGTTTCGTTTGGTACCCCGAATCGGCATATGATGTTCCGCCATATGAAGTCTCTGACCTCTTTTTCTCGTACCTGTTTGAAAGCTCCCGCTTCTACCCACTTAGTAAAATAGTCAGTAAGCACTAATAAAAATCTTACCTTGCCTTTGGCTTGTGATAGTAGACTACGATATCCATCCCCCATTTCATAAAAAGCCATGGTGCAACGACCGGATGTAATAATTCAGCTGGTCGATGCATGTTGTTACCATATCTTTGGCACTTGTCACAATTTGCCACAAAATTTTTCGCATCTTCTTCCGTTTTCGGCTAATAATAGCTGGCTCTAATCATGGTTTTTACCAAAGATCTTCCTCTAGCATGCTTTCCACAATGTCCCTCGTGTATTTCCCTCATCATGTACTCTTTTTGAGAAGGCCCGAGGCATCTTTCTAGAGGACAACTAAACATTTTTCGATAAAGATTGCCTTATTTTAAACAGTAGCGAGCAACTTTTTTGCGAAATGCTTGAGTTTTTTTCTTATCCTCAGGTAAAATTCCATGCTTCAAAAAATTGACAATCTCGTTCCTCCAATCCCAAGTTAGATTATTGTAATTTACCTCGTTTGTGTCTTGATCGAGTACTGAATGAAACAAATGAATCAAGGAAGCATTCTCTTCATTTGTCACTTATGCAGCAGATGCAAGATTAGCTAGGGCGTTTGCCTCAGCATTTTCTTCCCTTGGTATTTGCATGACTTTCCAAGTTTGAAATTGCGTAACCAAATTCCGTGCCTTTTCCAGGTATTGCTGCATCCTCGCCTCTCTGGCTGTATAAGTCCCCCGCATCTGGTTAACAACAAGCTGCGAGTCGCTTTTGATTACTATCTGCTCTATTTCAAGCTCTAGTGCTAACTCTAAACCTGCAATCACAGCTTCATATTCTGCCTCATTATTAGTGATTGGATGACACTTTATTGCTTGTCTTATGGTTTCACCCATAGGTGGTACCAGGACAATGCCCAGACCTGCTCCTTTTACATTTGATGAACCGTCAGTAAATAAGGTCCATGTACCTAGAATAGATCCGTTAAATACTTGCAGTTCCTTTTCTGCTTCTAATTGTATCCTTTGGCTAAAATCTGCCACAAAATCTGCTAAAACTTGTGATTTTATTGCAGTTCTAGTTGATATGTAATGTTATATTCACTTAGTTCTATAGCCCATTTGGCTAATCTACCAGATAATTTTTGTTTATGCAATATATTACATAAGGGGTAGGCGATTACCACTGAAATAGGATGACATTAGAAATAAGGTCTTAATTTCTTAGATGCCATAATCAAAGCTAATGCAAGTTTTTCTAAATGAGGATATCGGGTCTCAGCATCTAGCAAAGATTTTCTAACATAATAGATTGGTGATTGTTTACCTTGATTTTCTCGAACTAATACGACACTTACCGCCACTTCTTAAACTGAAAGGTAGACAAATAATTTCTCCCCATCTTTTGGTTTGGATAGAAATGGTGGATTTGACAGGTACACCTTTAAATTCTTAAGCATTTGTTGACATTCTTCAGACCATTCAAATTGGTTCTGCTTTTTTAAAGCTGAAAAGAATTTGAAGCATTTTTCTGATGACTTGGAAATAAACCTGCCTAAGGCTGCTATGTTTCCTATCAACCTTTGAACTTCTTTTTTGCTCGTGAGTATGTCTGGAATCTCTTCGATAACCATAATTTGCATAGGAGTTACTTCAATGCCACGGTTAGAACAAGAAATCCCAAGAACTTACCTGATGAGGCACCAAATGCACATTTCTCAGGATTTAACTTTATGTTGAATTTGCGAAGAATCTGAAATCTATTAGTCAAGTGTTGAATATGGTCCCCTGTTTGTTGTGATTTGACCAATATATCATCTATATACACTTCCATGGTTTTGCCTAACTGTTCTTGGAACATTTTGGTCACTAGCCTTTGGTGTGTGGCCCCAACATTCTTCAATCCGAATGGCATGACTTTGTAACAGTAAGTCCCCCTATTTGTGATGAAAGAAGCTTTTTCTTCATCTAGAGGATCCATTTTAATCTGATTATATTCTGAATAGGCATATAAAAACTTAACAATTCATGCCCTGCAGTAGCATTAATTAGTTGATCTATATACGGTAATGGAAAAGAATCTTTAGGGCAAGCTTTATTTAGATCAGTATAATCTACACAAACTCGCCACTTACCATTCTTTTTAGGTACTACCACAGTATTAGCTAACCAATCTGGATACTTTACCTCGCGGCTAGACCCAATTTTTAAAAGTTTCTGCACTTCATCTTGAATCACCTAGTTTTTTAAGGAGTCTTGATTCCCTTTCTTTTGTTTGACAGGTGGATACGATGGATCTTCATTTAATTTATGGGTCATTACCACCGGTGGTATACCTGTCATGTCTGAATGGGACCAAGCAAAACAATCTGTGTTAGCTTTTAAAAATTCAATCAACTCACATTTCACTTTCTGGCTGAGGTTGGTTCCAATGTAGACTTTTCTGTCTGGCCAATGTACAAACAACACCACAGCTTCGAGTTCCTCGATCGTTGTCTTGATATTTTCAGTTTCTTCTGGTTCCCGAATAGTATCGGGCCTCGAATCTACATATGTTTTCCCATCTTCAGTTGAGGTTCGTGTTGATGTGCCCTCAACTATATTCTGTGATTGCTATTTTTCATCACTTTTTACTTTTGAATCTACCACAGAATTAATGCTTCGTGAATCTTGTTGGTCACCGCGGATTTGCCGTATCCCCTATTGTGATGGAAACTTGATAACTTGATGTAGAATAGATAGTACATTGTCCATTTCGTGAATCCATGATCTATAGAGAATCATATTGTAAGCCATATCCATTTCAACCACCTGAAATTTCATATCTTTGACGACTCTTTCTGCGAATATGGTTAGTATTATCTCCCCTTTTGTTACGACGCTCGAGTTGTCAAAACCAGATAAGGTGTGTGCCTTGGGTATTAGCTTATCATTAGCTTGCATCTCGTTTACCACTCTTAATAGAATGATATTCATGGAACTACCTGGATCAATCAAAACTCGTTTTACATTAGTGTCATGTACAAGTAAAGAGATTACCAATGCATCATTATGCGGGGTTAGCACGCCATCTGCATTTGCATCATCAAATATAACTTTCTTCTTCCAAAACCTGTCGAACTCGCTTTCCGCGTGTGACTGTAATTTTTGAAACTTTCTTTGTTGCCGTATACATTACGCCATTAATCTCTTCTCCCCCGCTTATGACATTAACCGTCCTTTTTGGTGAAGTGGGTTTAGGGGGCTCCTTCCTATTCTTCATATATGTTTGCTTCCCCTTTTCACTAAATAATTCGGTTAGATATCCTTGCTTTAATAAATTTTCAACTTTGCCTTGCAGCAATCTACAATCCACCATTTTGTGACCGTGATTGCTGTGAAACTCGCACCAAAAATCAGGATTTCGCCTATTCAGATTTGATCTTATTTCCTTTGGCCATCGTACCTTGTCTCCCATGCTCCTTAAAATAGCCACCAACTCGGAAGTGCTAACATTAAAACTGTAATCGCCGATCTTTACCTTCGAGCTTCTATCATCATCTCGCGGCTCTCGCGTGTTGCGTTCTTTTCCGAACCTTGATGATGAACCTGACTCCCTATCTCGTGATCTATGATCGTACCTCTGGTTTTCTTGTTTTGAACGAGAGTCTCTTCTTGATGGTCCCTTGTAAGGCTCGTACCTATTTTTACCGGACCTTTTTTCAGCTTCAGCTCGTCTTGTACTTACCCTTTCATCTTTTCGAGACTGAGTGATGGTATCCTCTTCTATCCGCAGTTTAGTGTTGTATCTGTTATAAACATCATTTCAAGTTGTTGCTGAAAATTCTTGTAGACATTCCTTAAGTCTTCTCGTGGCTTCTGAACTTTTCTCATTTAGATTACTAGCAAATGCCATAGCTGCCCAGTTATCAGGTACACGTGGCAACATCTTCCTCTCACGCTGGAATCTATCTACGAATTCCCTGAACAGCTCCTTATTTTATTTTGAAAATATCCCCCATTATTTTTTCAACTTTTTGAGCTTTTGAGTGTGTTTTGATAAATGAATCTACAAGCTCAGCAAAAGAATCTATAGAATTTTTGGGTAAAAGAGAGTACCATGTTAATGGTCCCTTAGTGAGTGTTTGGCCGAGTTTTTTGACCAATACTGATTTAATTTCTTGCTTGGTCAAGTCATTGCCCTTTACACCAGTTGTGAATGCAGTTACTGATCTCGTGGATCAGTTGTTCCATCATATTTCGGAATATCAAACATCTTGAATTTCTTCGGAATTGGTAGAGGAGCAACACTTGGCTTCCAAGGTTGTTGTGAGTATCTGTCCATATCTATTCCCTTGATTACAGGTGGCACTCCAGATATTTGCTCTATGCGGTCTCTCTACTCCTTGAGCGATTTCTGCAAAGTTAATACTAAATTTTGTAAATCAGAATTAACTGGGTTACCTGGTTCTCCATCACAAGATTCGTTAGGAGTTCCGCCACTGCCTGAATTAACGAGTCCTGAGCGAGGATTTTCTAGGGTGTTGTTGCTTGGAGTTATTGTTGGCGGTACAACTGGCAACTGGCTGGTAAAAGCCTAAAGAGCATTGCTGACATGTTGAGGGATTAATTTCTTTAGAGCTTCATCGATAGCTTGATCATTTGAAAGTCTATCGTTTTCATTCGATTCAGATTTGTCAGGAGACCCCTCTCGTGATTGTCGCTGAGAATGTTGTAGCGAAGGAGGGGGAGTTCTGTCACCTTGTTGGTTCAGCTGTTGTGGATCTCCTTGGAGTGGTGAATTTTATTGGTTATTGTCGTTGGCATTCAACATGATTGTTTTTGATAAAGAATCAATTTGGAAAGCAGAAGATTATCAGATTCCCGGTAACAAAACCAATTTGTTTAACCGGGAAATAGGAATTTTGGTCAATGCTTACTTTTTAGAAGAACTCGGGTTACTGATAATCAAATATTGAATAAATAAGAAGAATTGAATTAGACAATAACTGAATAAGTAAAAGAAAGCAAAGTAAATCAGTGTATTCCAATAATATTCTGTATCCTTACAAATATTATTTGTCTCTTTTTATAACTATTTCTAAGTAATACGTTTCTTTCCTATCATAACAGAGCCATTATGAGCATTTAATGGCATTAATGTAACGTTATAATTGGCAATCGTAACTGTTTCGTGAAGATTCTGTAGTTTTCCATTATTGATGCTTATTAATCACGAATAATACGTATTTGTACTTTTTGCTATCCAGGTTCACTCCTCCGATGTCTCTTCAAATTATCAAGAGGTCCGAATAACCGTTCCTTCTTGTTTTCTATAATCTTTACCCGCGCCTGTTAAGGTTCGTGCCTCTTCGACTATTCTTTGCCACCTGTCATTCTGTTATTGATCCACGTATCTTGACGTGTCCGTACTTAATTAATTCCAAATGTTAACTTGATTTTTCCCAATACAGGAGTATTCAAATAAGAAAGATATAAGTTTGTGTATCGAATTGACAAACGAGTATAAGTTTAACCGATCACGAGGCCATTTTGCCTTTGTAATATTTCACAACGCAATGCAAATGTGCTCTACACCCTTTTTTTCTGTGGGATTTTCCCCTTGTTTGGGTATTTGATATTTGATTGAAACGTTCTCACTTTCATTCTAGATTACACGTGGAAAGGAAATAAATTCAATCCTTTTTGTATGCATAATACTCCCTTTGTTTCATAGAAATTGACCAATTTACTTTTGGCACGCCTATTAAGAAAATACTAAATTCTATATAAAAATATCTAGTATGACTAAACTACCCTTAATTAAATATTTAATGTGAGGAGTAAGGAAGCTTTTTAGGGATATGTACATAAAGGTAATTTTGTAAAAACAAATTGCATTCTTTCTTGATTATATAAATGAACACTTATTTTGGACCAAAATAAAAAAGTAAATTGGTCACTTATTGTGGAAGTGAATTTTAGCGTCATCTAATGTACATTTATGCCCTCCAAAGATGATCATACTTGTAAAAACTGTTCATAATTATGAATTAGGCATCAAGAATACTATCTTCTCAAAATAATATTTACTATCTTAAAGATAAAATTACGATGAAAAAGGCAAAAGGTAAAAGGCAAAAGGGAAAAAATTCTACATGGAAATCCTAGTTCTTAATGATATTTATAGCAAAACACAATTTCAAATCAATTCGGAAGTGCCAGAGATCAACTGTATCTCCCTTTTGAAGATTGTTAGCTTCCACAAGATTGTTCCATCCTTTGTTAAGCACAAATCTCTTCAAGCTTTGCCATCTGGTGAACTTCATCTTATGAAAGTTACCGTCTTGATCCATTACTTTGACCTCAAAACTTTTATTTTTATCATCGTTCTCTAACTTGATTCTCTCCTCTTCACTCAAGTTCTTGAGTAGTTCTTTGTCGAATGTACCCGGAATTAAGAGCCTGCTCAAATCAGGGTTGATGTCTGAATCCTCTGCCTTCTTCCTTCCGATGTAAACCAGTCGACTCCCTCCGGCAAGTCGAATAGCCTGACACATATTTGTTGGAGGCAAATTCTCTTGTAATGCCGCTTCTTGTTCTTGTTCTTGTTCATGTTTAACGTTGCATGGGTAAATGCGTGTTCCAAATAGCTTTATGGTCTTCGGCTTCTCCTCCACTTCAATTTCTTTCCCAAAGAGTTTTATTCGAGTCATGGCTCAATTGATGTTGTTGGAAGTGTAAACTTTGCATGTTATATATAGAGGGGGTTAGCTTGCATCCTAGCGTTATGTTTTTTCCTATTTGATCTGGATTCGGAAAAGTTGTTTTGTGTGTCTACCGTTAGCAACAATCCCATGCATATAAGAATTAGGAAAGATATATTACCGCGTCCAAAAATTCCTAGTTAAAGAAAACAGAAGAAATTTTCCAGAAAATAATACATATATTGGATTAAAATTACACAAGTGCCTATAAAGTTCCCAAAACATGGGCTTCAGGCCTAGTGACGCAAGCACCAGAGTAATGGGGGAGAAATTCAAAATTAGCATGATTTGCAACTGCTATAAAAATTAGCCATTTTTTTAAAATTATTCGTAATTTAGCCACTTTTTTACGTGGTAATAATATTTGGACAAAAATACCTTAAGTTAAAATTCGAAAAAAAATTCAGCATAATATATTGGATTTTGAACTTTTTACATAGGTAATTTCAGCATAATGTATTGTAGTTCAAAATATCCTGTATGTGAATTTCACCGCAATTCGCTGGAGTTTGAATTCTTTCAAGTTACACTCCAGCATAATATGTTGAAATTCGTATACAAGGTGTCTTTGAAGTTTGCAAGAGTTTTATAATCCAGCATATTATGTTGAATTTTTTTCGTATTTGGTAAGGGTGTTTTTGTCTAGATTTTATCTCCGCATAAGATAGTGGACGCTAGCTATTTTTTAATTACCAGTCGAAAATTGGCTAGCCCATGCTATTTTGACGAGTAATGAGAACCTAACAGGCCGAGACATACAAGGGTTATTATTATTTTTAGCCCGCAGCAGAAACTATTTACATCTGGGTTGCCGAAAAAGTATATAAAATTTGTATAATTTTGTATATAACGTACAGTATATATATATATACACATACATACATACAAAAAATATACAAATTTTATACATTTTCCGGCTATTATTCTTACAGCGGCTATAGAGGGGTATTGTCACTTTTAGCCCGCACTAGAAATTATTTACATCTGGTAGCCGAAAAAGTGTATAAAATTTGTAATTTTTTTTGTATATAATATACATAATGTATATATACAAATTTCATATATTTTGGGAAATTATTTTTACAACGGCTATGCACGGTTATTTTTCCTAAAATAAATTAAGGAAATTACCGGCTATGTCCATTTATAAGTAGCTCATTACAAAAATTGGCCAATTGATAAAATATTACTAATATTAGCCAAATAGCTATTTGTAGCAAAAAAATATCAAATTTTTGTTTTGTTTTGAGTGGGTGTTATTAGAATAGATTGGGCACAACTTAAGGAGCTTGAATCTAAGTTTTGGGATAATTTGGTGAAGTTTTGAGGTGGTTTGAATTGAAAATTCGAAGTAAAAGCTGAACATGAAAAAAATAATATGTGTATCACACTGTGTATCACACTGTGTATCACATATGTATCAATTGTGTATCACATGTATATTCATGTATACCTGTGTGTGAGATACATGCGTGATACATGTTTCGCAGAAGACTTTTTTGAATTCGATTTAATTATGAATTTTGATACAAAACCAGTCCAAATCACCTCCAATCTTCCTCAAATTTTGTATATTGACTTATCTTTATATTTTGAATGAATTTCAACTATGCCCATTGAAAAAGTTCCTTTTTTTGTTTAGATTTTTGGAATATTGTATAGATTTTTGTATTTCATCACCTTATTTGCTACCCCGTCCATGAATTTCCTTTCCGTCTTGTATCTAATGTTGCTAATCACGCTTACAAATATGGAAGGTGATTTTTGCATGTGATTCTTTGATAGAAAGAACCCTATTATTTGGTTTTTCAATTTTTGTTGGCTAGTTTTGGTGAGTCTATGACTAATGGCTAGAGGTTGGTAAGTTGAGATTTATTTGGGATATTTGTGTAAGTTTCCCAATAAATTAAAGAGAAAAGGGCCGAGATCCGTGTTCGATGGGCCTGAAGCCCAGAGTACTGATGAAGCTCCAGTGTCCTCCCTCATGCAAAGAAAGCGTCTGTAGTTTGAATTCTAGTGTTGGCGCGCCTATAAATAGCTAATAGGCCTTCAGTTCAAACTAAGCAGAGTCATTTCAAATCTAAGAGATACAGAACTCACCATGGGTAAACGAATGAGAAGAACCAGAACGCTCTGTTGCTGCGTATCTCCTCGAGTTTCACATCTCACTCCTCACGCTATCTTCTCCTGGCTCTCTCTCTCTCTCTCTCTCTCTCTCCAAATTTGTATTGTGTATATCTAGAAAACAGGTAATTCGATTGGAAAAGAATTTTGAAGCGGAAGCTTTTGTGATTTTTATATCAGTTTAGTGCACTAAGTTATGTGAATTCAAAAGCGAAACGAATTGAATTTTGTGCTTAAGTTCAGCTGCTTCGCTTATACTGATGCCTGTAATGCGGCAACTGTCAAATTCTTATTGATTGAGATTTTGCAGTTCAATACTCTCTGGTCGAAATATTTGAGCGAGAAGCAATTTATCTTTGAATATTAGTTAAAATTTGATAGCCGAAATTTCTCCTGTAGTCGAATCTATTGCTTCTGTGAGAAGGCAATGCGATACTGTATTACTCCAATAGATTTCTCTTAGCTCCAGCGCATATTTTATTGTATCTAGAAGATAAGTAATCCGATCGGTAAAAACAGTTGAATAGATGCTTTGTACTTTCTCAATCAATTTGATGCTCTATGATTATATGAATTTGAACCCGGACCAAATTGAATTTTGAGCTAAAATTCAGCTGCTCTGCTTATTTCGATGTGTGTTATGACGCAACTGTTGAATGCGTATTATTGATCGAACAGTTCAGTGCTCTCTCTGAGTTGGAAATCAATTCATTTATTAATATTAGCTACATTTTGATAACTGATATATTACGCCTGCAATCGAATATATTGTTTCTGTAAGAAGGCGATTCGATCTCTCTGACGCTGCATATTTCTACAGTATGATATACTGCTATTAAAATCATCATCATTAGACTCTTTCTGTTGCGGCGTATTTCTATTTTATGTATCTAGAAGATAAGAAACGATTGAGAATACATTTGAAATTAAGGTTTTCTGATTTCTCAATCAGTTCAATGCTCTAGGTTCCATGGATTAAATAGCTAAACATGTTAAAATTCTGAGCAAAATTCAGTTGCTCTGCATATTGCGATCCATGTTGTGCTGCAACTGTCAATGCGTACATCTAGGGCTGTCAAATTTGGCCCAAGCCCAAATGACCCGCCCAACCCGCCCAAGGTTGAGTTGGTTATTGACCCGCCCATTTATTGAACTTAACCCATCTTGACCCAACCCATCTCAACTCATTTAAAGTTCGGCTAATTTTTAGCCCAAATTAATCCACGAGTAAGTTTGTCAAAATATCTTAGAAATAATTTTATTTTTTGTTTAATATTTTAAATATGACCATAACAAAAGCAAAAAAACTTTATTTAGTAATTATACAATTTATAAGAAAATAACACATATTAATTAAAGTTTAATAAGAGTTGGGCGGGTTGGGTTATGACCCGAATTTTAACCCATCTTGACCCAACCCATCTTAGCCCAAGTAACTTTTGGGCGGGTCATTTGACCCGCCCAATTATTGACTCAACCCATTTTGACCTGCCCAAAATTGACCCAACCCGCCCATTTGACACCCCTATGTACATCGATTGAGGCTTTACATTTGAATGCTCTTTGATCCAAATTTTAGCTTCGAAAAGCACTTCGTTTTAATTTATCAGTTCAGGAATGAGTTTAGAAGTATTCTGGTTCGTGGATAACCGTAAGGTTTTGAATGTACAAGACTACAAGTTCAAGGGAATTTCTAATGGCTATCCTACTTTTGACGTCAGTTTAGCCTCTGTGATACAGCGAATCAAAATCAAATGGTTTGTTATATCGCAGAAGTCAATATTGCTATGAACTCTAGAATATTAGCTGCTTTGTTTAATTAATATCATCCGCATGATCATGAACACTACTGAGATTATATTATCATATGGTAGTTATCAAGTTACTCTTGAATGTTGAAACTGAGTTTATGCCAATTTGAATTCCATAAGGTACGAAGAGGATCTGTGGACAGAGATAGCTAAGGTCTTGGATGGAAAATCTTTGATGATGCTTTCAGCAACTAGCAAGTGGTTCCGTAGTATCATTATGGAGGACAGCATATGGAAATATGCATGCTTGCGAGACCTCCAGGTTCCCGATCCTGGAAAAGTATCTTTCAAATGGATCAACTTATATGCAGCAGCCTTTAGTAAGTAGTTTCTCGTTTTACAGTGAGTTTGACAACTTAATTGAGAAATGACATCAAAAGTGTCTTGTTCTCTACTATAACAAATTAATTTATTCGTTGCAGATGGATGCCACTCTTACAAGTTCCGCCAGCAGGAGAAGCATATTGGTATGACCTCTCCTGCAGTTTCGCTTTTATATGGTGGATTTTGGTATTAACACTAAGCACGGCTGTGCTGACAATTTCTGTCAATGGTTGGTGACCCCTTTAATTTGTTTGAACAAAATGATCAGACTGGATGCGCATTGGAGCATTTTCCTTTGACTCGCAAAATGCACTCCTGACAAATAATTTGATCCTTCCCTTGAAAATCCATAAGGAGAAGACAACAGAGAAGATGTTGGAGTCAAATGGGTGCTGTGTGGTCAGAAATATCAAGAGTGGAATCTGGATTGCTGGTAAATTCGTGATTGTGCAATATAATTTCTTATCATCATGACTTTTAAACCCCTGTTCATTGGGTTTTCCAGATTTGCAGCTTGTTCGTTGTCCAGTCTGTGACCTCAACACATGTGATGGTAAGCTGATTGTGTATTCAGTTAATATTTTAGAAAGGAAGGACAAGGTTAGTGTCCTTCAGGATCTTAATCAGTAATGGAGGTTTTCCACTAAATCTGCAGCAAATTGAATGGTCGCCACTTTATATTAGTGCAAATTAAATTATTCCACAGTCCGCCCTTTTGGGTTTTGCCCATTCACCTAGGGACTCCACCCCCTGGATTAATTCCTTCGATTGTTTGTCCTATCTATCTGAAGTGATACCAAAGCTGCTTAAAGATTTGGATCATGTGTTATTACAGGAACAATGCAGGTATTAGATGCAAGACATATTGAACTGTTCCTAAGTGAAGGATACCAGGATGGAAGCTGGGACTATGAATTGCTGGGTTCCCACGATGTGAAGAAGCAAGCTGATGGAGCATCTGCTGGTATATTTGATATCAAACATCTCAAAGACTGCTCAACTTCTGGTAAGTTCAGCAGTAAAAATCAGTGACATAGTTACCAGTTACTGTTAGTTTTTCCAACACAATCAATTTCAAAATCAAACTTCCAAAATATAGAATCTTCGTGCTGGGACCTTCTTGGGTTCTTCATGCATTAGTACAAGAATTCATCAATTTTTCAGCACGTAGATAATTCATAGTCACAAGAAATCATTGGAGACAACTCCTCGTATAAAGAACAATAGACTGGGACTTATTCTTGATATGAAATTTGATTTTATCCTGTGTGATTTATAAATGCATGTTCAGCTGTCCTTAATCTCAAGTCATGGGTAGGAAAGCCCAAGGATTGGCAACCAAAAGCTATGATAGCCCCTTATGCAGTTGCAGTCAACACAAATTTGCAAGAGAATGAAGGTATATTTTCCCTGGTTTCTGCAACTTTCATGAGTGACAAACTGTCCCTTATCTCTCACCCAGTACTTACTGTTACATTGTGGTGGCAGGTCTTCACATAAAATTCCATACCATGAAGTCCGGGAAGAATGGTGAAATTGTTTCAATGAGAATATGTGAGCAGCTCCTGTGATTTTGTCAAATTCTGCCAAGTCTAATCTTACTGTCTACAAAACCATAGTTCATTTTTCCAGCAAATATCAGCTATAACTCCATAAATACAACAAGCAGCCCACTATCGACAAGTTTCAGATGGGTTGTAAGTTGTAACCCGCCAAGTATACCTAGCAAATTAAAAGAATATATATACTATTTGTTAGTAAATGATTCTTGTTTGTAAAAGTATTACTTACTAGCCAAATTAGCACAGGCAAAATTCGTAATCTGCAGCCTGAACTTTTTTTATGGCTTATTCTTTCTTTTCCTCTAACAGAAGCGACCTAATAATAAATAAATGGAATTTGTAAGCTTTAACTTGTTCTGAGTTCCCAAAGGCAGTATTTTAAAGGAAGTTGAACTGTTAACATCATCTTATCTGTTTATACATCGTACAACTTGGATTTTATAACATCTTTGGCGTGTCAACGAACTTGAACTTATGACTTTTTAAACAACGTGATAAGTTAACGAAATTCTCTATGCTTTGCTATTGGCTATTGCTGATAGCGGTTTGATCTTTGATATACATGAGCAAACTGCTATATATTCCTGATGGCAGTTTCTCCCTATCCAAATTGACTTTTTGAAATACATGGGCAATCTGAAATTCATCATTTTCTCTTGTCTCCTTTGTTCAACTGTTTATGCAAGACATGATTATCCGGATTTCATTTGTGGGAACAACCACTTTGACATACGATTCCCTTTTGCATTAGAAGGCCAGAACTTTCAGAACAGTGGCTATCCTGGTTTCACTCTTAAATGTAGCAATAAAGGCAGAGTAATTCTAAGTCTTCCAGGTGCAGGAGATTTTTATGTACGTGATATCGACTACCTCACCCAACAAATACAGCTCTACGATCCATCTAATTGCCTCCCAAAACGGCTGTTCAATTTCAACACTTATTCTCCTTCTTCACCTTTCAAAGCTGTTTCCCACCGAAAATATACTTTCTTGACCTGTTCAACAAATTCAGTTTCGTCTCTGTTCAATGTCATTGGTTGTCTAAGCAACTCAACCACTTCTACTTTAGCTACTTCTTCAACGAGTCTTGCAAGCCAAATGACAAGTTTGTATAACTGTAGCATAATGAACACTTCGTCTGTTCCTGTTTCTTGGACTTCTCAATACGAAACAGATTTTTCAACTGACCTTAATAACGATCTTGTGTTAACATGGGATGAACCAAACTGCCAAGAGTGTGAAGCAAAACAAGGTGTTTGTGGGTTCAGGAATGCCACTAGCGGAGAAATTCAATGCTTTGATAGTCCTGGGACAGGTAAATATTTTCTCCTTTAGAGTCTCCTTTCGTTTCTTCTTCTGTATTTTCGTTTGGGTAGCTAGGAGTAGAATCAATCAATAGATTACGCCTCAATCTCAATCTTTTTGGGTTACTATACGAGTCCTTCTATATCTGGATTGGTAATAGTTAAATTATACCTCTACATCGGCCATCAACCAATGTAATTTTTTTTTTTTTTTTTTTTTTTA